AGGCAACTCCAAACAATTGCCGCCGTGGTTGGCTACCACCCGACTTCTCATAAATATTGACAGTCTTACGACGAGCCAGGAGATGTTGAATAAATAAATTGACTTCGGCTCGATTTTGATGCGGGAGGGCCCGGGAATCTCTATTTTTTTGGTCTCGCCTTAGAGGCAGTGCATCCCGTTGGGAAGAGAAGCACGTGATCCCGGGAGCTTGCCGTGATACGGGAAAGTCGAAAATCAATTCACACGGCAGGATGAGCATACAGTACCTGCAGTACAAACAGTCCACGGAATGCCACGGGTGCATTTCCACCCCCCCCCCCCCCCGGCCCCGGGACCGTACCGGGATAGCTTGCGGGATACGTTCGCGCCAAAATATGAGTACACCATGTGACGGAATCTCCATGGCAGCATTACGCACGGGATGAATCCTACCGTTTTGTAAATCGCCTCTTGCGGTGCTACGAATTTTCGTTGTGCGCAACCTCTCTATTTTCGCAAGGCCCGTCGTGAAGCTTCGTTCGAATTTTCGTTTTGCAGAACCTCTCTAGTAATTACATGTACCAAGAGTACATAACCCCCACTCTTGCATGTACCTATCTAAAGTGTCGATCACGCTGCTACTTCAGACCACTGTACTCTGTAGCCTCGGAGTTCAATGTTATAGTGTGTATAAAATTAATATTGCTTACCCGCTGTCCAGGCGTGACAAACACGCGACCTCTCTGACAAGGCAGCTGTCGCCGAAACCGTCCAAGCGTCGGTGAAGAGCGAGCACTCATCGTCGCCGCTACCAGTGCTGATGGTCGTCGCTGAACCGTTGGCATTTTGCCGGAGAAAAGCCAAATGGAGTTCGGCCCGTGTCCCGCTGTAGCGAGGACTTCTTTCGGATCCCTTCTGCTTTGGAGTCAGCTACGACTGAGCTACAATTGTTTGTTTTGTAGCTTCAGCATTTCGGGCTTGAAGCAGCTTGATGGACTTGTAATCTACTTTGTAGGACTAACAAGTAACAGAACAATAGTCAGTGCTGCTAAAAAAAATGATCCGATCCGGAGAGGGTCGGCGCCGGGCGCTGTGCAGGCCCAGACCTGCAACGACTGGGCTGTAAATGGTGCTGGGGCGCTAACCAGCTCATGCGCTTGGATTTGATCGAGCAGTGCATGACATCAAGGCGACAGGGCAGTAACAGACTATTATCACATATGGCACGTGATTGTTGCCCGTACTCCAGCGAATCAGCACCTTTCGCGCCGCGGGCAATAATATGCGATATTGCCCGCAAAAAAATAGTTTATTTGCCCGCAAAAAAATAGTTTATTTCAGTGATCGCGTGACCAGGTGACTACGATCGTACGACGACTCTGTAGACTGTACCGTACGACTCTACGACGAGTCGCAGTGTAGCATTGAGACGAAGATGGAATTCTTTTTGGAGATGGACATCCCGGCAATGCACATGGCCTCGGACGTCTGCCGTGTGGTGCTTGCAGGGATCATTTGTTCAGTCATGTTGGCAGCCTGACCGTCGGTAAGCTTGTGGATAAGATTCAGTTCTGCTCGAAGTGGTACTGTGATCACAAACAATTATTTGAAATAACACAAATTCAACTCAGCGTCGTGCGTTTTCAAATCCTCGCAAAGTCACTGCCTGTGTGTGGTCTTCATGTGCCACGCAAAACTCTTACCAGGCTCATCTCACCTTTGCTTGAACAACAAACACAACAATTCAGGAATGTTTTGCAATGAAAAATACAGCTATCTGGAGCTGAAAAAAAGAAGAAAAATTGTCCTCAGAATTGCACACCAGGGAGTCGTCAAATACTTGTACTTGTTGCAGTACTGTATTTGACAACTTCCTGATACACATGTAAACATGAAGAAACTCTTTGTGGTAGCACTCTTAATTTTTCAATTGAAATTATGATTCTGCTGTATTTTATTGTCGTTGCCATGTCTATTGCTATGACGATGCGGTGCCGGCACTTTTTTTCTGTCTCCGTCTTTCAGTACTGTATACTCTCTGATGGCCTGTAGAAGACTTTTTGTTAGGGTGTAGGAGAAATATCTTCATTTTTCCTGTTTTGATAATGATAGCACATCAATATACATTGTGGTCATAATGTGTTGGCATTTGGGCTAATTTCAACAGCAGCCCAATGGTCTGCTCTGTGGGCCATGTGATAAATTTGTTATCGCATGGTTGCTGCGGGCCTTGTGGCATATTATTGCCCCTCGAGGTTAGCCCTCGGGCCTACGGCCCTTGGGCTAACCTCTCGGGGCAATAATATGCCATAAGGCCCTTGCAACCATGCGATAACATATACTTAGGCCACACTGAAGAAGGTCTGTGGTTCGACTCACCCGACCGACCGTACATTTTTCAGCCCGACCGTAACTTTTTTTCGGCGGGCTGTCGTGTGACTGACGTAGATCTACGTGGACTGAACACGTCCACGTCTACGTGCTGTGCAGCGTGAGTCTGCGGACGCAGGCGGCTCCTTTTGGACTTGACTTGTAGTTGTACTGCAGTGGCAGTGCAGTGCAGTGAGTGGTAGATCTACGACTGCTGCCTTGTGCTGGTAGTAGAGTCTACTCGATACGACCACCGGCACGGCGGCAGACTGGCGAGACTTATTTTGAAGTGACCGTCCGGTTGAGAGTGATTGCCTCGTTCCAGATTAAGGACGGCCTTCTGTTTTGGGATGAAGGACAGACGAGATTGCACTTTCCTCGTGTATTGGGAACGATATTTCACCTGTACCGGTAAGTTGCTGCTCCATGTGTGCAAGCACAGGAAGCGTCGATGGAAAAAGCCCATGTATTCGTGCACGCCGACACCAAACTAGCAATACATGTACCGGTACATTGTACAATTTGTACTTCGAAGTAGTTCCCGAACTTACTTTCAACTCGCATCGTTCTTCATTTGCTTGATGATTTGGACAGTCAGAGTCACCGCTTGAAGTTATTCTCTTCTCGTTCCAGAGCTACACAATGTTTCAAAGTATTAGCCAGTGATCCCTTTATACAACACTAGCAGCACCCCCGCCAGCGTTGCCTGGCCGAATGTGGCATGCATGCGGGTGAAGCAAGTACATGAACAGCACACGTGCTCAGCACGTGGTGGTGGCCAGACCGCTGAAGTCCTGGTGAGGGAGGTTCTTCATCGTTGGAAGGAGAAGGAGGGACGTCTGTTACGCCTCCGGGAGGCTGGTCAGGGTTGTCCATCACCTGGTGGCGGATGAAGCGGCTCAAAAAATTCAAAAACTTACGAACAAAAGTGCGATGCGCTCTTCACTGCAGATGCAGAGTGCAGTCAGTGCAGATCTTTTGTATCCTTTTGTTGCAGATGTTTCTATTTGCAGAGAACGGTTCACGTGGTCCGCAGCGCTTGTGCGGCTGCTAGTGCTACCTATGCCATAGCCTAGGCTAGGTGGCTACATGATTCGCACGCTTCGCGTGCTCAGTGCTTCTGCGCGCGGCTGCTAGCATGCTACTGCTACTCGTACTGATCGTGTCTGCTATAGTATAAGTATAAGCGCTACCACCGTAGAAATAAAAAATCCGAAGGAAATACGACAATTTTACTGCGTCTGTAGCTTGTGTTGTAGCGCACCCATGTTCTGAATTCCTGCTGGGTGGGTCAAGCCAGACTCTCTTCCCTGTTCCATCGCCTCTCCAAAAGTATATTCTGACATTGTTGAGATTTACAGATGAGAAATTGCACACCTGTCAAATCGTTTCTGATTCGAGCACCCGGGTCTACGTACCTACACTGTTCGCACGCTTCGCGTGCTCAGCACGTGGTGGTGGCTACACGATTCGAACGCTTCGCGTGCTCAGTGCTTCTGTGGCTGCTTCCGCTAGCTACACGATTCGCACGCTTCGCGTGCTCAGCTCAGTGCTTCTGCGGCCGCTAGCGCGCTAGCTACACTGTGCTACACTGTTCGCACGCTTCGCGTGCTCAGGGCAGCGCTGCTCCGCAGCGCTTCAGCGTGACACAAAAACACACGTCACAGGTGCCTCTTCTTTATAAGGAGCGTGACACACACACACACACACACAGACACACGTCACAGGTGCCTCTCTTTTATAAGTAAAGATGTATGGCATAACACTGCGTAATAATGCCGATGTACTGGGTGTCTAAAGGCAGTACAGTGTATTTACATGTACTAAAAATATATATTAAAAAAAAAAAAATCCGCCCGCCCGTCCGTAAAAAAAATGTCCATGTTAGTCGAACCACACACCTTCTTTAGT